CTAAATGAGAGAATATCTGCCTCAAGAGAGGCAGTATTTATGATCTGAGTGTTTTGGTCATTATTTTAGCTGTATATATGTAATGTAAGTGACATAGTTTTCAAAACAGGAGGATCAGGTTTGGAAAATTTCAATAATATCATAAAGGAGATTCATAAATATATTCAAAGAAAATTCACCAAGCACAATACAAAGCAATACCTGGTGACAGTTAAGTTTTCTAAATACTTTATAAGCACCCACTTATTTAAGTCTCACAACAAAATTAAGAAGTACATTCTCATTTACAGGCAAAGAAACTGAGGCCTAGAGGGCTTCACATAACTCCATAGTGAGGAGTCTATTAGAGTAGATCACATAAATCCTTAGGGAAAACATATAACTATGGTCCTAGGAAAATACATGTACACTCATGTACACATTAAACTGAAAAGGAATGAAGATGCATGCTTGTTTTAATAAACATGCTTATTTCTTAATATGTTTTCATGCTTTATTCACTTCCCCAAAATTAAGCTGCAGACTAATGATATCACCTAGCACTAAGGTCATTTACTCCACACAATTTACTGGTAGAAATTATAGTCAGATTTTTCATTTTTTTCTCACTTCTTAGGAAGCAGCTTTAAAAGTACGACTAGAGGGCCTCCCCGGTGGCGCAGCGGTTGAGCGCTGGGTTGCGAAGCTGCCCGCGGCCTCTGCAGCGCCGGTTCAATCCCCGGCTGCTCCCGGCCACCGGAGGAGGGTCCCACATGGCGCGCAGACCTCTCCTGCCGCCCGCTGCTCCCCTCAGCAGTGTACTTCGCTTCTGCCTGCTCTGCTCCTCGCTCTGGCTCTGGTGAATTCTCTCACCCTCCCGTGCTTCTGACTGTACCCAGTGCATGTATAAACAAGCAAACAAATAAAAAAAAAAAAAAAAAAACATGCCTCTTTAAAAGTATGACTAGAATAAGATTTTTTTAATAATGAGATTCTTGCCAAAAGTTCTGAAATGAACCTAAAAGCAACAATCATTAATTTTTTAAAATGTCTCCCAACTATAATGCAAAATCAGAATTAGGAATTATTTGACTTAATTATCTTCTTGAGGTCCCATGCTGCAGAGATCCCACAATTTTAGAGAAAATTTTTTAGATTTGACAGCACTGTTCACTCTATAAATATATTTTCCCTCCCTCAAATACAAACTGAAAATGTGTGCACAAATAAAGCAGGTGGGCAGAAATTGAATATGATGGGAAAATTGTTTAGAGCAGGGAGGAGCTAAGTGTAATGGGCAAAGTAGACATATCCACTGAAATCACTTTAGTGAAGTCTAGTCTGTTGCATATGACCTGCAACTTCAGAAGCATCCTTTTATCACATGCTTTTAATTAAAGTCATCCAATTACATGGAAATATCCAAATAGCAATATAAAGCATACACAGAATGGCTACAACACCTTCCTTTTGCCCTCTAATTCAACTAAGAGGAGTTAGAGCCAAGTCCAAACATTGACTTGCCACTTAGTAGCATTGGACCTTAAGAAGGTTGTCTAACTCAATAACAAAAACAAAGAGAAACCCCACCAACTGGGAGAACATTTTGGCACACAACACTAATGATAAAGAACTGATCACAAAAATCTGCAAAGAGCTGATGAGACTCAGCAACAACAAAGAAAATAATCCAGTCAAAAAATGGGCAGAAGAGCTAAAAAGAAACTTCTCTGAAGAGGAAATGCAAATGGCCAACAGACATATGAAAAAATGTTCAACATCACTTGTAATCAGGGAAATGCAAATCAAAACTACCATGAGATACCATCTCACACCAGTGAGAATGGCACATATTAAAAAAACTAGCAACAACAAATGTTGGCGAGGATGTGGAGAAAAAGGAACTCTTCTGCACTGTTGGTGGGAGTGCAAACTGGTCCAACCACTATGGAGAGCTGTGTGGAGATTTCTGGACCTACTAAACATAGAGCTTCCATATGATCCAGCAATTCCACTCCTAGGTATTTACCCAAAGGACACAGAAACATCAATTCCAAAGAGCACCTGCACCCCTATGTTTATAGCAGCACTCTTTACAATAGCTAAGCTTTGGAAACAGCCCAAATGCCCAAAAATAGATGACTGGATCAAGAAGATGTGGTACATATATACCATGGAATATTACTCAGCATTCAAAAAAGATAAACACATGCAATTTGCAGCAACATGGATGGCGCTGGAAGGGATCATGCTCAGCGAAATAAGCCAAAAAGAAAAAGAAAAATACCGGATGGTCTCACTCATAGCAGGAATCTAGAAAACTTAAATAAGGGACCAGGAAAATGAATATAAGAAAGTGAAAATCAAAATCAACAAAAAACTATGAACCAGAGACACTTTTTGGGGGGTGGGGGGCGGGAGGGGAAGGATTGGGGTCAGAATGGGGCGTTTGCAATTGTATGGGGGAATATAAAAATAAAATTTAATATTAAAAAAAAAAGAAGGTTGTCTAACTGAACAATAATGGATAGAACAATTAGACAGAAAACTTAAAGTAAAATAGAAGACTTGAATAACTATACTTATACAGGCATGAAATACTGACCATCACTCCAAACTCACCACATCCCAAACTGAAATCATGTTTTTATTTAACCCAATCTCTTCACCAATTCTCAAAGACACGAGTCAAAACCAAAGAGTTATCATCATCTCTGTTAGAAAGCAAATGCTTCTTAGTCTGATCCTCTAGTTCTATGAGGAAGTATTTCCCCTAAAATTTCCCCTTAACACTCCTGGTATCTTCCACACCTCTTCTCCCCTAGTTGAAGCTTCAGTGACAGAGACTAAAGCAAGGGCAGAACAGCCCCTTCTTCCTTCTTTATTTTGGAAACCAGACACTCACAGTTTCTGACATTCCATATTAGAAATTTTGTAAGAATAGGCACCGCCCTTTGGCAGAGATAGAGGGATAAATTTTATTCAAAGGGCTGTGTCCAAATGATGCCCAATGATGTGTGGCAGAGAATGTAAAACAAGAGAGACCAGGTAAGGAAAGTGGGGATTACAAACTCACGTGTAAATCGAAGGTATGATGGGACTAGTAATTCGAAGCATTTTAGATATTACTAAAGTTGGTCATGGAGGCCTCCCTGGTGGCGCAAGGGGTTAAGCACCGCACTCTGAAGCAATCTGCAACCTCTGCAGCACAAGTTCGATCCCCAGCCAGCCAGGGAGCAACCTACATGGTGAAGCAGACTTCTCCTGTCTCACCGCTGCTCCCCTCAGCAGTGTTTTCATTCAATCTGCCTGTTCTATTCCCCTCTCTGTCTCTGGTGAATCCTCTCACCCCCCGGAATTTCTGGCCTGTACCCCAGTTCTTGTATGCATAAATAAATAAATCTTAAAAAAAAATACCTATAAAGTTGGTCATGTTGAATGTTGACACTAAGTTATGTTCTCCAACAGCTCAATCAGTATTAATTAAGCTGACCTTCAATCTCCACTTGCATGCCATTTATTTCAGTTGGTTCTGAGCCTGCATTCAGAGAAAACATGTTATTTTTGGGTCTTCCTTAAAACCACATCTGCCCTTTTAGTATTTTTAAATATTGTGTGTGCTTATTTTGTTGAGAATGGGCAAAGCAACTATAAAATATGAAATTAAAGTCTTCCACATTGTAGGTGTAAGAAAGTTGAATAAGTAACCATGATCTAAAAATTGGCAAAGTCCATATAGTTCAGAGATATGTTAATGAAGATGAAAGTACAATACAAAATTGAACCTGGTGCATTTGAAAAATAAGAATTAGGGCCTCCCTGGTGGCATAGGGGTTAAGTCTCAGTGCCATCATGCTATTTCCGCTGTGGCCTGAGTTTGATCCCCAGCCAGGGAGCTAACCCATATATGGCACAGCAGACCTCTCCAGTCTTCGCCCCCTGATCCTCTTGGCAGTGTATTTCAGTAAATCTGCCTGCTCTGCTCCCTACTGTTTCTCTCTCTTTTCTCTCTCTCTCTCTGTCTCTCTCTCACCTCCACACCTCTCTGGCCTACAGCCCAGTTCTTGTATGCATGAATAAATAAAAAGAAAACTTAAAAAAAAGAAAAAGAAAATTTAATCTAGAGCTGTGGTCAGTCACACAATGGAAGTTTATTTTCATCCTGTAGAGATACCATAGACAAGTGTCTTCAACAACCCGATAGCTGAGAAGTGGCTATTCCTAAAGACAACTTGAGCAAAAACACTGCCAGAACCACAGACCCTCCTTCCAACATTCCAGGAGTAGAACACCTGTATCTGCGGGTGCTAGAGTCAGTTGTTTTTGTTTTTGTTTTTAATTTAAGTGACTATCAGTTACAGTTTATTTTCATTCTTCTCAAATTCAGTGATTTCCAACAAGAAAAAAAAAAATGTTATCATCCTTATCCAACCTGCCACAACTGTCCCCTCTTCGTATATAAAGAGTAAACAAGGAGTAAATACATCCAGTTCTCATTTTCTCGCCCGGGACTGCTTCATTACACTCTAGAATAACTCACCTCACATTCTGCTGCCCTAACTCTTCAGTACGGCCTTCCGACTAGTACCCCTCGCTCCTTACGTACACCCGGACCCCGGACAAGGATCCTCCCTCACCAACCCCTATCAATTATGCACCTTGGTGTCCGTGTATCGCTCCGACCTCGACAGAGAAGCTGCCTCAGCCTCGCGATCGAGCGAACATATTCTTTACTCTCCAAGCAACTCAGACAAATACTGGGCACTAATTATGTCCCAGCACAGCCCTAGACAAAGAATCAAGAGAACGAGTCGTTTAAGGTCCGTCCCCGCGGCCCCAAGGGCAGGCGCTGACCCCGCCGGGCGGCCACACCAGCTCGCCCGGGCTGCGCAGTCCGCGCTCCGCACGCCGCGCAGGGCCCGCCGGCGCCGCTGGTCCTCCCTGCCGCCTGAGGGCGCGCGAGCTGGGCGCGGAGGGGCAGGTCGCGCGCGAGATACGTCATCCTCTCGGCGAGACCGAGGCGCCGATAGTGCGTCCCTCCTGCCGTAGATTGTCCGAGCCTTTTGGGGCAGCTCGGCCACTGCCCAGGACTCAGGGTCACCTCGCTCTGCTGCGGCTCGTTCGCCGGTTCCTGGCAAGGACCCCCGAGTCAGGGTGCCCAGCGGATGCCTGCAGGGTCCCGCTGGTGCCCACAGGCCAGCTAGCGCGGTGCCTGGCGATCGGCGCTGCTGTGGGAGGACCAGGTGAATCCCGACCCAAACTCCAACCGGACCCGGGCTGCGAATAGCCCAGAATCTAGAGTGAGCTTATGCCCGGGTTACACGGGTTGGAGTTGCGTGGCCGCAGGCCTAGAGGAATGGAGTGGTAGCGGGGGAAAGGGGTCGGTGTCAAGGGCTGAGGCTGTGAGCATGGAGGGCTGGAGAGCGGGACCCTAGGCGCTGAGGGTTGGAGGCGTAGTTGAGGGGTAGCAGGTCCCCCCAACGCCGGGCGGGACTAGGGACTTGGCCCCTGCCATCCTGGAAGCAGAGGAATGGGTGTCGGAAGTGTGGGGTGAAGTGTCCCAGAACCATCCAAAATTAGTAATTGGTTAATGGAATGATCTTTAAGTTGAGCAAGATTTTGGACTTGGTAGCATTTATTAAAAACCACGAGCCAGGACAGCCATAACATAGAAAAATTATGAAAGTGCCACGTCCGCCCCTGGAGAACCTCTAGCTGTCTGGCCTTGGAAAACCAGGTTCATTCATTAATATATTCAACAAATACTGTGAACACCTACTCTGTGCTATAAACTCTGTGTGGTACTGAGGATATGATGATGAGCAAAACAGACTTTTCATGGAACTGTCCTAATGGGGAAGACATAACAAGAAAACATGCAAGAAGCCATAAGGAAATACAACAGCGGAAATGAGCTAAGATCTAGTGGATGAGTAGGAGGTAACCAAAGGCTGTGTGGACTGCAGAACTGTCTCACACAGACAGGTCAGAAATTCTTGGACTGTAAGGCCTATGAGGCTGGAGTAAAAGAAAGTTAAGGAGTGTGGGCTTCCAAATGAGGCTAGAGAGATCGGCAGGAATCAAAATATGCAAAGCCTGGTAGGCCTTGCAAAGGATTTGGGTTTTATCATAAAAGCAGGACATATGTTAAAGGGTTAAGAAGGGGAATGATATAGAATTCGAATTAATTTTTAGTTCACTCTAGCTGTTATGTGGAGAACAGATTGTAGAGGGTGGCAGATACTCTCCAACAGTACAACAGACTCCATTGAGGAGTCTGATGCAGAAGTCCAGGGAGGGATGATGATGTCTTGGGGTAGAGTAGTGACACTTGAGTGGTAGAGAGTTGTTTGGATTTGAGATATATTGGGTATGTAAAAATTCCAGAAATCAGTGATAGTATAGATATGGAAGATGAGGGAGGGGAAGTGTCAAGACTGTTTCTCCCTAAATATATGGCAGAGACTCGCCACATGGGATATTGGGAAGAATGGATTGGTTAATCTTGCACTCGTTAGACTGGGCTTAGCTTTGTGGTTTGAGTAGGTCATCAAGCTGAAAGTTGTAGGAAGGACTTGAGTAGAAGAGACATCAGAGAGTTTCTTTGTTTGGACCAGTCCCTAGCACCATATATAACATGACTTTCAGGCTAAGAAAAATGAGCCTGTCCCTATGTGTGTTCATGGAAACATCTATTTATTGGCAAGTTGAGGGGCTCTACCAGATAATCTTTTGAGACCTAGTCCTTAGTTCTGTACAGGTGATCAATTTCTAACATGTAAGAGTTTGACAGTTGGAAGAGAATGCAAGTTCTTAGTCCAGTGTATAAAATACTTTAATGCTCATTGTGTCATTTCCACAATTATTTATTCAACTCTTACACCATACTAGACACTAGAATTATATTTAAAAAAGTAGAATAAGACTATATGGATTCAGGGCCTCCCCTGGTGGCGCAGCAGTTGAGCGCTGAGTTGCGAGGTTGCCCACAGCCTCTGCAGCGCCAGTTCGTTCCCCAGCCGCGGGCGAGGGTCCCACCAAAAAAAAAAAAAGAAAAGAAAAAAATACTATATGGATTCATTTAGTGTATATAATTGACTAAATTACAATCCAGGTAGTTTTACCTACTTCAGATGCAAAATGGTTACAACTAGTTCCTGACTTTGGAGTTGGATGTATATCCTTAAGCCTTGCCATTGTAGACAGGAGAGATCCTGGTCTATTTCTTTGATTAAATGAAAAATGGTCTGTATTCAGCAGACTTTTTGATATTCTGGCAACATCTGATTCTTATCCATCCAATCTTCCAGTTCTAGAATTGATGGGAGAACATGTGGAATAGGGAACCTTAAGTGTGGAAACAGTTATTACACCCTAATGATCAGGCTGTTTAGGTATGTAAATTGTAAATCCTTTGTAAAATACAAAGGAAAGTTAGGAAGGAAAGGGAGTATTGGCAAGAGTGGTAGTATTTACATTTTTTTTTTAATAGTATTGAAACTTTTTTTTTTAAGATTTATTTTTATTTATTTATACAAGCACTGGGTACAGTCAGAAGTGTGGGAGGGTGAGAGAATTCACCAGAGCCAGAGCGGGGAGCAGAGCAGGCAGAAGGACCGAAGCACACTGCTGAGGGGAGCAGCAGGAGGCAGGAGAGGTCTGCGTGCAATGTGGGACCCTCCTCCAGTGGCCAGGGAGCAGCTGGGGGTCGAACCAGCACTGCAGAGGCTGCGGGCAACCCAGCGCTCAACTGCTGCGCCACCGGGGAGGCCAAGTATTTACACTCTTGAATGGATAACTGCTTTATAGCTTTACAGTCACAACCCACATTATGTACTCTGCAAGGTAACTTGAAAGCACCCTCTACTATTCTCTTCCCTCAAATCCCATAAATCCAAATGGGCAATCAAATACAATAATGTGTACAGCTTTACTATATAACTGTCTTGTGTTTTTTGAATCTCAAGAGTCGGAGGACTGGCTGATTTACAAGGCTGTATGGCTCCAGAGTAGGAAGGGTGGGAAATGGAGTACTGATGCATCCCTAATCCAGCTCTCTGATGGCAGGAGTGAGATGACCTCAATCTTGCGAAGCCCTCAGGCTCTTCAGCTCACTCTAGCCCTGATCAAGCCTGATGCAGTTGCTCACCCACTGATTCTGGAGGTAAGAATAAATCCTAAGTCTCTACTGTATGCCTGGGCATTGCTTCTGCTTCAGGCCATAGGGCCACCAGTAAAGACTGACAACACCGTCCTGTGCTAGATGCTGTGGAAGCTATGAATCTGTTGAAGAAATAGAGCAGATATAAAATACGATAAAAAAGCCAGTACAATGGGAACTAAATCTCAAGACAGTCTATGTATATTAGTGTCCTTTTGCTACATAACAAGTTACCATAAACTTGGCAGCTTTAAACAGCACTTATTTATTATCTCACAATCTTGAAATATATAGGTCGAGTAGACTCAGCTGGGTTCTTTCCTTAGGGTCTCATAAGGCCACACTCAAGGTATCAGCTGACTGAACCCTTATCTAGAGATCTGGGGAAGAATTCACTTCCAAATTCATTCAGTTGTTGCTAGAACGTGTTCCTTGTGGTTATAAGATGATGTCCCCATTTCCTTGCTGGCTTTCAGGTGGTGACTGCTCTTATCTCTGGAGACCATTCACATGCCTCATTACATGGCCCACTCCATCTTCAGGACAGCAACAGTGCATTGAATACTTCTCATGCTTCAGATCCCTCTGACTTCTCCTTTAGCTTCCAGCCAGATAAAACTCTGCTTTTAAAGAACATATGATCAATTAGGACAATCTGGATAATCTCCCTTTTAAAACCAAATCAACTGCCGGGCGTGGTGGCGCGCGCCTGTAGTCCCAGCTACTCGGGAGGCAGAGGCAGGAGGATCGCTTGAGTCCAGGAGTTCTGGGCTGCAGTGCGCTATGCCGATCGGGTGTCCGCACTAAGTTCGGCATCAATATGGTGACCTCCCGGGAGCGGGGGACCACCAGGTTGCCTAAGGAGGGGTGAACCGGCCCAGGTCGGAAACGGAGCAGGTCAAAACTCCCGTGCTGATCAGTAGTGGGATCGCGCCTGTGAATAGCCACTGCACTCCAGCCTGGGCAACATAGCGAGAACCTGACTCGCCAAAAAAAAAATAAATAAATAAAAATAAAAAATAAAAAAAAAATAAAACCAAATCAACTGAGTAGTCACCTTAATTACACTTGCATAATTCCTTTTGCCATGACTCTAACCATATTGTATTATATTCACAGTCCTAGAAATTAGGGTATGCAATCTTAATGAGGCTGGTTGAGGGTCATTTAGGATTCTGCCTCCTATAGGTTGATAAGTACTAGGTGAGCAACACTGCTGAACAAGCCCTCCATGATGCAGAGGAAGACCAGAGCAGTCAGAAATGGTGGCCTGCAGTGTGGAACTCAGCCAGCCTCAAAAGAAGGGTGGACTTTGATTAGTGTATGGCACAGCAGGTGTTCCACAGAAGGGAGATGCCAAGTCAGGAATGTATGTGGTGGGTCTGAGTGCCACAGGCAAACTGAGTTGGGGGCACTAGAGAATAGAAAGTGGTAGAGAGCATTGCAGCTGTGAGCACTGGACTAAGGTGGTTGCACTGCATCCCTACTCAAAAACTTCTGACCCCAGTGTGACATATAAGTTGTGGTATTTTTAATCTATCAATTCTGATAATTTGGAGAGTAGGAGAAACTCAAGAACACTATCAAGATACTTTTATGACTGTATAAATGATGTTCCTATGGGCTTGAGTTCATGGAATACAGGAATGGAGGGGCAAAATAGCATTCCTGCCCCCCTCCTCCTGAGTTTCGCACTCTGGCTGTGTTATGGAAGGTCATTACGTCACCCTACTTCTTTCTCTTTTGACCCACCAGGACAGACGTTGAAGTCCTGGGCTCCAAGGGGTCCTCGTGGTTCTTTTAATCAGACTGGACCTCCTGTACCTTTGACTGATTTGTCTTTGGGTGGTGTTTATCCAGGCTGTTCATCAGCAGATTCTGAGCAACAAGTTCCTTATTATACGAATGAGAGAACTTCTATGGAGGAAAGAAGATTGCCAGAGGTTTTACCAAGAGCATGAAGGTAGGATCAACTTCCCTCCTCTGAATGGGAGGCTTCTCTGTCTCAAGATGTATGCAGTTGTATGTCTGCCACTTGTAGAAATGCTGTCAGTTTTCTCTATTTATATATAAACTTTTCTGATTATCAGAATTTGAAAAAAAGATTCTAGGAAGGTTCAATCTCACAGTTCCAACCAGAAGGTTAATTTTATGTCTTGATAATATCAGTAGGTAACATTTAGTGAGTGTTTACTCTGACAGATGTTCTCCTAATGCTCAAGATTTTATTTAGTTCTCCCAATAGCCATATGAGGTAGAGATTTTTTTGTCCCTGCTCCACAGATTAAGAAATTGGATTAGGAAAATTACCTTACCCCAAACTGCACAAGATGTAAATGGAAGAGCCTGGATTCAGACCCAGGTTATCAGACCCCGAGGTCCTTGTTCTTCCCTCTAAAAGATTTTATTTTTCAATTAAGGCAGAAGTACAAAAAGGTCTCTTGGGCACCAGTGTCTTGATGAAGGAACTCTCTCTTTGCAGGGCGTTTTTTCTATCAGCGACTGGTGGAGTTCATGGCCAGGTACATCTAGTTTTGTGTTGTTGTTTGTTTGTTTAAGAATTTTAATCAGGAGCTTTTTTTTTTTTTTTTTTTTTTTTAAATTTACGCAGAAGTACTAGAGTATAGGCCAGAGGTGCGGGGGAAGAGGATTCATCAGAAACAAAGTGGGGAGTAGAACAGGCGAATCCACTGCAATATACTGCTGAGGGGAGCAGTGGGCAAGATAGGAGAGGTTTGCTGCACCATATGTGGGTTATCTCCCTGGCCAGGGATCAAACTCAGGCTGTGGCTGTGATAGCACTGAGACTTAACCCCTAGGCCACCAGGTTGGCCCAAGTACTTCTAGTTTTGGTTCCACATATTTATCCTCTGAGACATCTCCTCAGCCCACTAAATACACTTATTTATTTCACTTACCACACTAAAGTTGTAGTCAGTACCAAGTATCTGAAGAAACATGGGCTTGGAGCTCTGACCAAGCCAACACTGACCTGTTGGCCTCCTGTCGCATTGTGGTTACTGATCCAGTAAGTGTAGAATTGTTGAGTGTTCCCTAGCAACTCTGCTGATCTCTGTGATCTTGCTTATATATCAGCAGAGGCCCTCCATCACCTGTTTAAAGTCACATTGATACTCAGCTAAAAAGGCAAGGAAACTCAGAATTAACATACCTATATTGGTGCCCTGCTCACAAAGTGCCTTCTTAGACTAGATAGGCATATTCCTGACATGTGCTCCATTTGTTCACAGTGGGCCAATCCGAGCCTATATCCTCGCCCGCAAGGATGCCATCCAGTTCTGGAGGACAATGATGGGACCCACCAGAGTGTTTCGAGCACGCCACATGGCCCCAGATTCAATTCGTGGAAGTTTTGGCCTCACTGACACCCGCAACACCACCCATGGCTCTGGTGAGTCTTCCTCCCTGACAATAACCCCAAAAAAGGAGGTATTTGGGGGTTGGTAAACAACTGTACTGTGGAGTTGAGAGCCAGGTCCCCCCAGTGAACTTTCTTCCTAATTGTATTTCTGGCCCTTTGTGGCCTAAAGACTTTCTTTAAGTGCCCTAGGACTATGAGGCAGGCAGAAGTAGAGACTCCTCTTTCTGAACCTAGTTATGACTGCCTCTTGCTGTCATCCTGCACTCCCTATGAGAGAACCCCTTCCCTGTATTACCTCCCTTACAGACTCAGTGATTTCAGCCAGTAGAGAGATTGCAACCTTCTTCCCTGACTTCAGTGAACAGCGCTGGTATGAAGAAGAGGAGCCCCAGTTGCGCTGTGGCCTTGTGCGCTACAGTCCAGAGGGAGGTATCCACTGTGCAGCTGGAACAGGAGGTCCAGGACCAGCCTGATGCAGACCTGTCAGTGTGTATTGATCAGTGGCATTGCCCAACATTTTCTTATAGACCTCTGGCCTAGAGTATTTTCCTTGGACCAGGAAATCTTTGGGCTCTTGCTGCCATCTCTATTGGGCTCCACTACCAGCCCAGGAACTTAGTGCCTCACACCCACCTCCTCCAGAATCTGGCTCTCTATCTACCTCTTCTCTGGAATGTTCATGCATGGTTCAGAGGGACTATGGCTCTTCTTTTTTGCTGAGAACTATTCATCCTTTCTCAAGGAGGAGCTTGCCTAATTGACTTGCCTAAAAAATGCATTGACTCTGTGTAAGCACCATGTCAAGGAGCTTTTTCCCTTTTCTTCTTAGAATTTTGTGGTTTCCTATCTAATATTAAAATCTTTAATCCATTTTAAGTTAATTTTTTGAGCAAAATAGGGGCCTAGTTTCATTTCAAAGCCATTGAAGATTCCAAAGAGTTTCACTTTATATGAAATAATTGTTTACTATTTATTATACTAGGTATTTCAATGAAGAAATTTTAAGTATTTATGTTCATTAATTTTTAAAATAACCCACTCCTTGTTAATATAAATAATATTTTTATTAAGAATATCTGTATTTTCCTTTAAAAATCAGTGGCAAATGAGGCATTATTTCACATTTTTGCAAATTTCTTTAATGTCCAACTTAATAGAAGAGGTCGAATTTCCTATCTGCTTCTTTATCCAGTCATTATGGTATCTGTCAAGCACAATACAGGTTTATTAGCAGGTTAAGTAACAATGAATCCTTCTTAGATCTGTCAGTTTATTACTTATGTAGACAGCAAAGGGGAAAGTAGCCCAAAGTGCCAGCTCCTCATGACTCTTATACAAAATGACACAAAAACAAAAGCTACCAGGTGACTTCATCATTAATGATAAGACACATTGTTGCTGAGGAGCCAATTCTACACTGCAGTTAAGGGATTTTAGAGCCTACTGCTATACCAAGGGGGCCAGAAGAGAAAGTGACATATCTCATCCAGACTCCAAAGAGAACCAAGAAGATGAATGGGAAATGGCATCTGAGCGACAATTCATAAACCTCCCAGGCTTTCTTGTTCCAGGAAGAGCAGTGTACATTCTGCCAATGTAGATATGCACAGGATCACTAGGGGAGAGCCATTGCCTATAACTGTCAATCCCAACCTTTCACATGTCAATATAGGAATTTATTTTGGGGGGCCTTCCTGGTGGCTCAGGTGGTTAAGCACCGCACTATGAAGCAATCCGCAACCACTGCAGCACAAGTTCGATCCCTGACTGGCCAGGAAGCAACCCACATGGCACAGCAGACCTCTCCTGACTCACCCACTGCTCCTCTCAGCAGTGTAGTTCAGTCGATCTGCCTGTTCTGTTCCCCACTCTGTCTCTGATGAATCCTCTCACCCCCTGCATCTCTGGCCTGTGCCCCAGCTCTTGTGTGCATAAATAAATAGATCTTAAAAAAAAAAGAATTTATTTTGGGTTCTCCCTGGTGGTGCAGGGGTTAAAGTCTCAGTGCTATCAAGCTGTCACCAGCCACTACAGCATGGGTTCAATCCCTGGCCAGGGAGCTAACCCACATGTGGCATAGCAGACCTCTTATCTTGCCCACTGCTCCCCTCAGCAGTGTATTTCAGTATATCTGCCTATTCTGCTCCCCACTCTGTCGCTGGTGAATCCTCTCACCCCTCTCACCTCTGCCTACACCCAGTTCTTCTATGCAAAAATAAATAAAAATAATTTGGTTTAAAGTAGTCGTTTCCTAAGACTTCCTAAAAAAAAATTCATTTTGGAAATGTAGACCATCTACCAGATACTCTAATTGTACTGACAGGGATTTGGACTAAAACTGTTCTATATGTCTTAGACAACATCAGATGAGCATGACCATGACTGTGACTCCCAGTAGAATGACCATGCCTGCTCGGAATACAGACTATAGCCAGGCTTCTCATTTGCAGCCAAGGCAGTTACAAGTATTACTAACCCAGATGCAATAAGAGATTGGCAACTGTAGATACCTCACCTCAAATCGCCAAAAGTACAAGTATGGGATCTGGCACAAAGAGAAAGTTCTGTGTGCCTTCTTCACACTTAGCTTTCAGGAAGCCCTGACACCTCTTTCTCTTGTGCCTGCATGGGAGATGGGAGGACAGGAATCTTTCTTTGTATTCTTACCCTGCCTCAAATGGCCACCAAGAAATCTAGGGCAACACAATTGCTTATCACCACAAGAAAATTTAGACTGGTTTGTCTATTGTAGACAAGTATAGGCCTAACATTTGCGTACGAAGTAGTAGCAATCTGAGCGGCAGCATTTTGCTAAGGGGGTTGACGGTCAAACTGTCAATCTCTATCCTTTGCAAAATGGTCTGTGCAAAATATATAAAAGAGTTCAAAAATGACAAGATGTGGCTTAAGAAAATCACATCAGTGTCCAGGAAGTTAATCTTGTTTGTCATTTCTGGTGGAGACTATTCACTCCTGCAGCTGTTGGAAGGTTTCTGTGAGTTCTTAGATTAAGATTTTTCATTGGCCTTTTATCGAGTTGAAAATGGTAGAAGCTGTCTGGATTAAAGTGACCAGATGCACTTCAGATAAAAGCTGAGAAAAAAATTAATGATCCCACTTCCCACCCTTGACATTTCAGAGTCTAAGTCATTCTCTTCTCACTTGCCAGAGTTCTTACTCTTCTTCCAGAGCCAAGTAATCTGGTCTATGTGACCAGTCCCTACAACAGTCACTTCTCCAGTTCCTCCCACGTCTTACCCACACCATATACCCAAACATCCTGGATGGCTAGCAGTTTCATCCTAGAATACATCCCTCATCATGATGTGTGGGCCACGCCAGCAGGGCTATTTTAGAAGTTGTCACCTCATATTTAGGATCATTGTCACCGAAATCCATAGCTACCCAAATCCAGCAAGCATACCCAGACAGCACAAAATTAACACTAGGTTAGAGTCACCTACCTCCTGGTTCTTTGTAACTTGAAAATTCCAGTAATGTGATTTTCCAGGGACAGGCATAAGAAGAAAATAAGTAGCATGAGAAGGAGTTACGTACTCATCTGAGTCTCTTTCAATAGTCGGAGCCTCCTCCCTTATTCCCTAACTTATCATTAAACATTCTATTCAAATGAAGGGTACCCTTCCAAGAGGTTGCCACAGCTAGAGCTCTAACTACCTGTACTAAGTGTGTGCTCTACAGGGAACTGAGCCTTGGTTATGTAGTATCCTTTTCAGTTTTTCTTTTGAACTTTAAGTGGCATCAACTGCTTGGAGATGATATGGGGCATGAAAAGTCCAGCAATTATTTCTGGTAACTATTCACTCCTAGGTAATTTTTACTATAAGGTGATACCATTGTTGATTATGTGTGTTTAGGGAATCCAAATATGCAATAGACCATCTAAGAGTTCTTGAATAGTAATGTCCACATATTTAATGCAGGCAGGATGGCACCCTGGTTATGTGCCCAGAAGTCCTCTTTGTCATTCAATTGCAGAACTGACAGTAAGGCACATTTGCCAGATTTCCCTGGCCTCATGTGCTAGAATCACTGTAACTTATTTGGAGGCTTGATCTTGAATTATAAATGGATTACCATGCCCTGTGCAATGGTGTATTCACATGGCTATATTCCTTACCTGGGTAACAAGTTTAATTAACTTACTGTTTCCATTGATGTTTATCATTGCATGGCCTTTTTCCTTGGGCATCCACTTGAGTCATGAACAGGGAATATAGCCCTGGGCAATCTGTTGCTGTAATGTTTGTCCCCACAAAGACTGAGACTTGACATCAAGTTGTCCTGCCGCCAGACACCAGGCCCATTGCCAGTCCATTATGTGCTACCCACAAGTCAGTAAAAAAATGTAGCAGTGAATTTTAGGGAGTGTTTACCAAGATAAGCACCATAGTCTATACTCCACCCATTGAGAGAACTCTACCTGTTCTCTCTCTTTTTTAAAAAAAGATTAAAGATTTATTTTTATTTATGCATATAAGAACTGGGCTGGAGGCCAAAGGAGTGGGGGGTAGAGGATTCACCAGAGACAGAGTGGAGAACAGAACAGGCACATTGACTGAAATACACAGTAGCTGAGGGGAAAAGTGGTCAAGTCAGGAGAGGTCTGCTGTACCATGTGGGTCACCTCCCTGGCTGGGGATCTGCAGTGGCCAGGTTGTGTCTTAAGATCTTGTGCCACCAGGGAGTTCCTGAGATTACTGCATTTGGAAGGTGACTAGCCACTTTTTCCTGTAGATGTTGACTCCATCAATGTCCACTTCTTTTCTGAGCACTTTCTATTTTGTTGGTGTTTGCATTTTTTTACAGCTTGTTAAGTGGTTAAACCCTTTTGCATCTACCAACTTTTTATTTGGTGTGAGGGTCATATCCTCACCCATGTTGGTCTTCTCTACTATATTACTGCCACCATGTGGCTGGGTCAGGGGAGTCTGGTGGGCTCCAAACTGTTCATTGTCCCATTGCCACTGTCTAAACCTTGGCCTTTCCCCACTGGTAGCATCCCTTATAGTTAAGAGAATTTGTTTTTAAAGATTTATTTTTATTTATTTATGCATAGAAGAACTGGGATGGAGGCCAGAGATGCGGGGGATGAGAGGATTCACCAGAGACAGTAGGGAGCAGAAATACACTGCTGAGAGGAGCAGTGGGCAAGACAGGAGAGGTCTGCTTCTCCATTGGGTTAGCTCCCTGGCTGGGGATGGAACTCATGTCACAGTAGCTGCTGATAGCTAGATAGTGCTGAAACCTAACTCCTGTGCCATTTGGGAGGACCCAATTAAGAGAATTATTAGTCAGATTTAAAGATTCTATTTACACAATGCTCTCGGCAAGCTATGGATGTATAGAATGTCCACCAAATGAAATAACACAGACTAGTTTTGTTTTTTTTTTTAATAGAGGCATGTTTATTTATTTGTTTGTTTGTTTGTTTGTTTTGTTTATACATGCACTGGGTACAGTCAGAAGCGCGGGAGGGTGAGAGAATTCACCAGAGCCAGAGCGGGGAGCAGAGCAGGCAAAAGGACCGAAGTACACTGCTGAGGGGAGCAGCGGGCAGCAGGAGAGGTCGCCACGCCATGTGGGACCCTCCTCCAGTGGCCGGGGAGCAGCCGGGGATCGAACCGGCGCCACAGAGGCCGCGGGCAGCTTCGCAACCCAGCATTCAACCGCTGTGCCACCGGGGAGGCCCTAACACAGACTAGTTTTAAGAACCAAGATAGAACCGTTGTCAACTGAAATATCACCTTTGTAACCTAAAAAGAAAGCCATGAAACACCACCTTTTAGCCTGGAGATTAGAAGTCAAAGAATTGCTGTAGGAGCAAGTAGGACTAGAGCCCCAAGCAGTGTGGCTCTTTTTTTGTTTTTATTTTTTAATTGTAAGATAAACAAGGACCACATTTAACATGAGTTACAAGTTTGCCACCCAGCTATAGTTTTAACACCAGGAATTTAGAGTACTTTGAAAATGGCAGGAATTTTTCTTTGACTGCCAGAGGGATTTAGTTTTGTGAATCCACCCACATTATTCAAAACTTTACTTGACCAACTGGTCTCTGAATCAGTCACTCTTTATCAGTCACTCCTGCTGACTGTAGATAACAAAGAAGATAGAGAAATTAAGAGGGAAACTTTCAGCTTGCCAACCAACAGGATATCATTTGTATAGTGAAAACATTGGACAATGCTGTTAGTACATAATTGGGAGGTCCTTAATTCTGCAAGTTGAAGTGCTGTGATATTAATGAATTCAGATATCCTTAATTACAGATGTATACTGCAAAACCTAGGCCAAGCACTAAAAATATTTTAAAGAAAAGTAAACCAAGTAAGTAGTAAACCAAAAGTGGACATAAAACATAATCATAAAGAGGCCTCCCTGGTGGTGCAAGGGGTTAAGTCTCAGCACTATGAAGCTATCCGTAGCCACTGCAGCACAAGTTCAATCCCTGACCAAGGAGCTAACCTCTCCAGTCTGGCCTGCTGGTCCCCTCAGCAGTGTATTACAGTATATCTACCTATTCCCCACTCTATCTCTGGTGAATTCTCTTATCCCCTGCACCTCTGACCTGTACCCCAGTTCTTGTATGCATAAATAAATAAATCTTTAAATAAATAAAACATCATCATAAAGACAACCCAAAAGAATGCAGAAAAAGGCAGCTGTCCTCCCAAGACTGCCTATCTGTGTCTATGCAGGTGTCTCTTTTTTTCTTTCTCCTTTTGCTATCAACCCTGTCCTTTCAAAATGTTAAAAAAAAATAATAATAATAATAATAATAATAATAGAGGAGCCTCCCCGGTGGCGCAGCAGTTGAGCGCTGGGTTGCGAAGCTGCCCGCAGCCTCTGCAGCGCCGGTTCGATCCCCGGCTGCTCCCCGGCCACCGGAGGAGGGTCCCTCATGGTGCACAGACCTCTCCTGCCGCCCGCTGCTCCCCTCAGCAGTGTACTTCGGTCCTTTTGCCTGCTCTGCTCCCCGCTCTAGCTCTGGTGAATTCTCTCACCCTCCCGCGCTTCTGACTGTACCCAGTGCTTGTATAAATAAATAAATAAATAAACATTTAAAAAAAAATAGAGGGCAGGTAAAATAAAATATAGATAGAATGAATGAGAAATAACTATAAAATGTTAGGTCATAATCCAAACATGTCAATGATTACACTAACTATGAGCAGCCTATATAAATCAGCTTTCTACTCTGCGAAGCAGATATTTTCACATCCGGGGCCTTGTTGTCCAGGGAAGGACTGCCTCTTCCAGGGGTTGTGGATTCCTCCAGATAGCAATCACTCCCTCCAGCATACCTTTCATGTGAAAACTAACTATCCCCCATACTCCACACCTTTCTGTGCATGTGAGACTTTAAGCCCCTGTCCTAATCACCCCAGGGTCAGGCATCAGACAATTTGGGCCAGTCCCTACACCCTTCACCCATTGAAGTTATTCAAACTAGCCAGTCCTATACCTGGTCAGCCCACTTAACCTTGCCATACCCATTCCTTCCCTCAAAAACCTTAATAAAGGTTTTCCTTTTTTTTTTAAGCTTTTTTTTTTAAAGATTTATTTATTCATATAAGAACTGGGATACAGGCCAGGGATGTGGGGTGGTGAGAGGAATCACCAGAGACAGAGTGGAGAACAGAACAGGCAGATTGACTGAAGTACACTGCTGAGGGGAGCAGCAGGCGAGTCAGGAGAGGTCTGCTGCGCCATGTGGGTTGCTCCCTGGCCGGCCAGGAATCAAACTCATGCTGCAGAGGCTGTGGATTGCTTCATAGTGCAGTGCTTAACTCCTTGCGCCACCAGGGAGGCTTGTAAACTATCCTTTCAATGGCAGTGGTTTCCTGGAAGCATCTTACAACAATGAAAGGCAGGAAGGGCTGAGGCAGAATGAGAAGGAGAAAACTGATCAATAGAAATTTAACTGTAGGTGACTTTGTATAAAGATAATATAAATTTATTTTTGGTATTCTTGCTTCTTTTCTGTGTTTGAAATTATTGCAAAGTAAAATGTTAAAAAAAATTTGAGGTACAACATTTAAGGTAAGCATTACATTCCTTTTATTTGTAACTTGCTCCTTATCATTTCTGCCAGCATCCTGTCCCGCTCTGGCCAGGAATGACACAGAAGCAGGGCAGCACACAAGAGACCAGGGGAGTACAGGTGGGGCACCAGAAACCAGGACACCCCCAACTCCCTCAGAATGATGCTCAAAATCCCAGAGGCCTGGAGAACAGTTTTGGAATCTGCCTGGCAACAACAGAGGAAATCTGAAACCTACCATTCCAGCTGCTCTTTTAAAGGCCAGGTGGAAGAGGTCTAGTGGAGAGAAGTCTTTGGACACTGACCAGTTTTGAACTATCAGGGAAGTCTGGTCTGTGTGGATATGTGTTGTTTTTTTTTTAACATCTTCCCATAGGGAAAGTTTTCTTTTTTTTTTTAAAGATTTATTTATTTTATACAAGAACTGGGGTACAGGTCAGATGCGTGGGAGGGTGAGAGAATTCACCAGAGCCAGAGCGGGGAGCAGAACAGGCAGACGGAGCCTGTGCCATGTGGGGTTCTCCCTGGCTGGTGGGGAATCGAACTGGCACTGCAGAGGCTGCGGACAGCTTCACAGCACGGCACTCAACCACTGCGCCACCGGGGAGGCCCCTGGATATGTGTATTTTATTTAACTTGTCCTTCTCTGATGGCAATTCCAAGTGTATTCCTCTGCCTATGCTCTGACAGGTAACCCCCCAGCACTGTGCCCTGAGAATGACCCAGACTAGTGTCTCCTTTGAGTGCCTCATTCTCTCTGATTCAGATTCATCCCCCTTTGAAGCCTTTTACCTTCCTAACCTAATTAAAACCTTAGACCAATCCCTTAAAGGTTATGTCGTTCTCAACTTACAGATAGGGAAATTGAATCCCAGAGAGGTAAACTTACCTGCCCAGAGCCACACAGCCACAAAGGCAATTGCTCTCAGACTTCTAGAGTCCTCAAAGTTCTCTTTACTCTGCCCTCTTGAACTGACTTAAAGTGCCCTACCACCTCTGGAAAGCCCCCAAACTAAATCTTAAAACCTCAGAGGAGACTGTCAAGGACAGGGTCCACATGGACCTTGCCTGAAAACAAGCCCAGTCTTCCTCCTTGGCATAGCAGGGCTTGGGGAGCCAAGAGAGGCCCTCTCTTCATCCACACTCATTGTCTCCTGCCTTCCCTACCTCTTGCTCTCTCTGTGGTTGCTTTCTGTTTCCCTCCACTGAGGCTGCTCTCTACTGACCTCAGTGGACTTCATACTTGCCCAAATCATGGGGAACCATTATGAGTTCTCTCCCTAGGGCTCTTGGTCTCCTACAGTATTCTAGCTACTTTTTAAAATCCACAGTTCTCCTGGCCTTACAGTACTGACAAGTGCCCCTGCCTACCTCTTCCCCCCACACCGTGGAGACCTCTCACATTCTCTGCTTATTTTCACACCGGGCCCCATCATCTAAACCCACCTAGGATGAGTTGGAGGGGCTCTGCAGGGCTCCCACCTAGTCCTCAGCCATCATGGGCTGGATTCTCTAGAAGCAGGGCCTGAGGCCTATGTTTGTTTGTTTTCGAGGGGTGTTCTTAGGAGGAGGAAGGTGAGAGAAACAGGGCAAGGGAAAAGAAGGAGCTGGATAATGAAATGTTGTAGTCTATCTTGAGACCAGCTTCAGCCCGACCCCACCAAAAGCCCCAGAATCCAAATTACACCACTCCTTTAGTCCCAACTTGAGGCAAGCAACTGGGGCTTTTATATCCCCTCATCAAATCAGCGCCGGGTACAGACTGCTAGCAAAGGGCAACACCCTTCTCCCCACCTCCGCAGGCATTTGTGGGGAGACTGTAAAGGAAGCTATGAAGGGGGCAGCTACAAGAGCCATTAACCACTACTCAGACATTCTAAACAGCTTGTGGGTGCGATGGCTGCAGCCCAGGGAAAGGGAGCTGAGCAGAATATTGACAGTGAACACTACAGTAGCTCTTCTCCCCAGGTCCTGCCCAGGGACCAACATCCTGCTGCCACTTCAGAACCAGTGTATTCAAAACTGAACTTGTGGTCTCTTCCCTTCCCTCATCTCCAACCTACCAATATGGGCAACAGTGGCATGATTCAAATGGGGACTTCTGGGAGATATGTGACACACCTGAAAGTCCAAGGGGTGAACAGGAAGACATGGTTTTCCACCAACTCTCAGGAATCATAGGATGTGGCTGCTCCTGAGGTTCAAATTTCCTAGTATCTCCTGTCTGCCCTGGAACAAAGAACCTCAGACGCTGCTGGTCAGCTTCCGAATAGAATGGCCAGTGGGCAGGTCATGGATAATGTCTGAAACACCTTGTTTTATTTATTTTTTTAAATTTATTTATTGGGTCTCCCTGGTGGCGCAGCGGGTTGAGCACCATGCTGTGGAGCTGTCCACAGCCTCTGCAGTGCCGGTTCGATACCCGCCAGTTGACGAGAGTCCCACATGGTGCGGCAGACCTCTCCTGTCACACTGCTCCCCTCAGCAGTGTATTTCGGTCGTCTGCCTGTTCTGCTCCCTGCTCTGTCTCTGGTGAATCCTCTCACCCTCCCACACCTCTGGCCAGTACCCCAGCTCTTGTATAAAAATAAATTAAAAAAAAAATCTTTAAAAAAAAAATTGCCCCCTCCTCCCCCCGGTGGCACAGGTGGTTGAGCACAGTGCTGTGAGGCTGTCCGCAGCCTCTGCGACGCCGGTTTGATCCCCGCCAGCCAGCAAGGGTCCCACATGGCACAGCAGACCTCTCCTGTCGCGCCCGCTGCTCCCCTCAGCAGTGTATTTCATCATTCTGCCTATTCTGTTCCCTGCTCTGTCTCTGGTGAATCCTCTCACCCTCCCACGCATCTTATGCATACAAGAACTGGAGTATAGGCCAGAGGTGCGGGGAGGTGAGAGGATTCACCAGAGACAGAGTGGGATCGACTGAAATACACTGCTGAGGGAAGCAGTGGGCAAGACAGGAGAGGTCTGCTGTGCCATGTGGGTTAGCTCCTTGACCAGAGATCAAACTCAGGCCACAGTGGCAATAGCTTGAAAAAACACTGATGTGTCTCAATGCCAGAGGAAAAACCAGGAGCTGTAGCTTTAGCCAAAGTTAACCTTTTCAAGGGAAATTAGAACTATATGGGCACTGTGCTAGCAGGCCAATCCTGGGAGGGACAGTCTCTGTGAGTATTCAAAAAATGCCTGTCCCTCGCCCACTGTCACCTCCATATGGGCAGCAGCAAATCCACAGCATCCCCATCCGTACTGCCCACAGAGTAGATCTCCTTAAGTCCTCACTGGGTGTTCAGTGAGGACAGCAGGAGGTGTGTGAAGGGCCTGGAGAGGAACCCTAGGAATGGAGACGCTGGCCTCGACCTTTTAGTCCTCATCCCAGACCCTCCTAAATGGAGTAGCAGCTCCTCCCATCTCTTTTACACACACACACACACACACACACACACAGAGCTTCTCAGAGTTAAGGATAGTGGTGGTAAATGAGAACAAGTCCACTGAAAGTGAAACCTGGAGGAAGTTGCTTTCACAAGAATTTATTTTTCAGATTTCAGAAGTCTGAGCCAGGGCAAAACAGACCTTAGGCCTCTTGCATGGGCCTAATGTTTCGGAAAAAATCCTTGATCCTCCGTCCAATGTTCTTAATCTTCTGCCAACCTTTCTGGAGGAGATTACCCACTTTTCCAAATAGCTTGACACTCCGGGGCTGTGCACCAGGAAGAAACAGATTCCTTGTGAGGGCTGGACCCAGGGCCAGGCAAGACCCCTCCCAACCTAAACATCCTCTTCCTCGCTTTCCCAGGTTCGCTCCAGAAAACTTGGGGCCGCATTTCACCCTCTGGCTATGAGCTTTGGAGCATGTGGCTGAATCCCCATGCACAGAAACAGATGAGGGAGGTACAGAAATGGCAAGGGGTTGCTCAGGGTCACACAGCCAATTCCAGGCACACAACGAGGATCCATGGGCCAAAAAGCTCCTGATTCTAAGTAAATGACTCTCAGAATTCATCAGGAGACAGAACTCCTTGGAGGGCTTGTTAAAAAACGAACTTCTGTACCCCATTCCAGAGTCTGATTCAGTAGGTCTGAGTGGCCCGAGTATGTGTATTTCTAACAAGTTCCCAGGTAAGGACTGCACTTTGAGAAATACTCCAAAGCCACTCCTGGACACCTGGGGCTCAGGCCAGGGGCTCTTTCCTAGATAGGGCAGCGGTTAATTGACCCAAGGATGCTCTGTGTACCACCACCCCATCAGCCTCTGCAACCCAGAAGGGACACTCACCTCATCACAGGTGATGTCAAAGGAGCCCCCGATCTGGTCCAAGGACACTGTCCCCACACACTGTTTCACCAGCTAAGGAGAGACTTGAGGTCAAATGCATATACCATAACTCCCAGCATCATCCCAGTGGTTGCAGATGTCCCCTACCAGCCTGTTGTTCAGCTCCTTAGGAGGCATCCCCCAATACCCCTAGCCCCTAGACCCCCATCCTCACCCCCTGCTCCTTAAAGTCACACTGCTCCGGTGATTGCTGCATCGTCCAGGGGCACACAGTCTCCTTCACCAGGAAGCTCACAGGCTTTGGGTTGTTTGGGTCGTCATCCTGCTCAATAGAGGAAATAGACCAGGCTCATGTTCATTCTTGCTTTCTCAGATCTCTCTCCCTGCCCCCTACCAAGAGAGAAGATACCCCCAAACTCACTCCCTTGGGCTCCTGGTCCAGCTCCAGGAGGCGGTAGAGATTGGCACCTGGGGACCTCTGGTTGAGGCCCTCCACAGCACGGAGCACTGCCTCCTGGTAGCCCAAGTCCTGGGTGGTGGCCGGGGGTACTAACAGGCCCAGCAGCAATAACACCAGTGACCACCACCCCAAGGAAGGGCTATCCCTCTGGGTCTCCATGGTCCCTGAGTCTGCCTCCCTCCAGCCTGTAGGGCCCTCCTTTATGCCCATCCCGAGCCTGATGCAAAGGCCCAACCAGGAGCCTTCCTGACCTACCCCACCACTGGCCTCCTGCCAGGGTATGGGCGGGGGTTACCTCAATCCCACTATTGCCTCATGGAGCTTGCAGGACAGTGGACAAGGTCTGCTAATGTACAAGGTGAAGAAATGGTTTCTCCATCTCCCCAACGAGGTCTTGGCCTGAGGCCCCACAATACTCAGAGGCTCAGTTGTTCAAAAGGGTTGAGCATAAATAAACAAAGTTGAGCCTTCCAGAAGAAAAGGAGAGGTGGGCCTCCCCGGTGGCACAGCGGTTGAGCGCTGGGTTGCGAAGCTGCCCGCAGCCTCTGCAGCGCCACTTCAATCCCCGCCTGCCAGGCGAGGGTCCCACATGGCGCGCAGACCTCTCCTGCCGCCCGCTGCTCCCCTCAGCAGTGTACTTCCATCCTTCTGCCTGCTCTGCTCCCCGCTCTGGCTCTGGTGAATTCTCTCACCCTCCCGTGTCTCTGACTGTACCCAGTGCTTGTATAAATAAATAAATAAATCTTACAAAAAAAAAAAAAAAAAAAGAAAAGAAAAAGCCGATGACTATCCTACATCCTTCTCCCACTGCGACCTCAGGAAACAAAGTAATGTTGTATACATTTCTAAGTTTTCAGTACAGGTACTGCCTGGCACCCAGTAGGTATTCAACTGAAGTTTAATGAATAAATAACAGTAACCACCACCACCCTTATCTAGAGACTCACCTATCTGGCCAGTCCCACGGAAGACTTTCAAGCCCATACCATCCTGTTCTCTGGACCCAGGCCTCAGTCAAGTTCAGGGCCTCAACTCTATCAGTCCCTTGAACTGGATTTTTCTCCATGACCTTTCTCAGTCTAAAAATGTCAGCAGTGCCTCCCTGGTGGTGCAGGGGTTAAGTCTCAGTGCTATCAAGCTATGGCCAGCCACTGCAGCGTGCATGAGTTTGATCCCGGCCAGGGAGGTGACCCACATGGCGCATCAGACTCTCCTGTCTTGCCCACTGCTCCCCTCAGCAGTGTATTTCAGTAGATGTGCCTGTTCTGCTCCCCACTGTCTGCTCCCCACTATCTCATCTTCCCCCCGGCACCTCTGGCCTACACCCCAGTTCTTGTATGCATAAATAAATAAAAATAAATCTTTAAAAAATAAATGAAAATAAAAATGTCACCAGTCCCCACAAGCCTATTGTCCTTGCCCCTCCTCAGGCTGGCTAACCATCACTCGATCCAGTGACCTCTTTCGAGCCTGTCTCTACACAGGGGCTGGTACCCCCTCTCTCTTCCTAAGCTGCCCTCTGTTGCTTTCCTGGTCTCCCTCCTACCTGAATGGAGACTTCTCAGTCTCCTCCAGGGACCCTCTCTTAATAGGGGTCCCTTGCAGAGTTGCATCCTGGACTGTTTGTCTTGGCAGTCCTCACATCCCCTCTTAAGACACTGGGTATCATGGGCAAACACTACTTAGTCTGTCTCAAAGTTTAAGACTTCCATGATAACTCCTAGTTGCCTCCACTGAGCCCCATGTTAAGCAGCTGGATGCTGCTTCATGAGCCATGACTGAAGGCCATCCCTTTTCTTCCTGAGCAAGTTGCCCTCTCACCTCCTGCCACTGCCCCTGCTGATTCCTCCCACCACTTTCTCTCTTCTGAAGTACCCCCACAGCCCCCAGCTTCCACCTTCTCTAGGTTCCAGGCTATTCCCAGATCATAGTCCACCCTCTCCCCCATTGTCCAGGGGATCATTCAAACCACTGATTTGGCCATTTCATCCCTCTCCCTTCAGGAGCTTGCACATCCCCTGGCCTGGACTCAGGGCCCAGAGTCTGGATGGACTTCATTTCCCTCACCCACAGCCCTGCACCCTCCCCCGCTTCCAGAGTTCAGGCTGCCAGATACACCTCAATCACTTAAGCCCCTCCAAGCCTCTGCTTCTTTCTCCCATCTCTGCACCTGATTTTTGCTTGGCATGCCTTTCCACCTTTCCACCTCAGAGGGCATCTCTGACTGCTAACCAGACACAACTCCCTCCTTTTGGTACCACTATCTCCAGGAAGTCTCCTCTGATTCAACCTTAAGTGACTCCCTGTCTAATGCTCTGGTTGAGACACCACGATGGGAGGTGGAGAGAACACAGCAGAGGTAGCTGATGGGCAAACTGATAGAAGGGTCCAGAGGCCATGAGGTAAATTCTAGTCCAGTTCTCCTGTGGAAATACCATGTGGCTGGGAGACCTGGGATTGCTCTTGGTCTTGGTAGGCCTGTGGGACTCTTGCTAGGGCACCTGAGAAAGTGGCAGCCTGAAAGAATGCTGCTGGTTGCACATCAGCCATGGGAGAAGGAAGAAGAAATGGGTTTCTGTGCAACCTGGTTTCACAGCCCAAGTATTTCCCCAGTGGCCTCTTGGTCAAGCAGGGCTTGCACATCAGGGTCCTGTATAGCAGCTGGGAGGAGGGTCACCCTAGGACATCAGACCCCTTGGGGCTCTCCTGGCTCCCTCCCTTCTTGGTTGTTTTCAGTGTCCTCGAGGAGTCAAACTGGGAGAAAAGTGGGTGTCAATGTCAGTCCTTAGTCCATCCAGCCCTCTATTCCTCTAGATCAGACCCAGCACACACAGAGCCCCTTCCCCACTGGCAGAAAGAGACAGTCTACCTGAGCCAACAGTGCAAACTTCTGTCCCTTGAGATCAGCCAGAACCCAAGTGGCTTACACAGATCCTCTGATGCACATCAGAAGTTGGGTCCAGGGGGGCTTGCTGTCCCTCTCTGGGCTAGAGCACAGGGTGCAGGCTTCCTAGCTTCCAGAATTAAGCCCCATCCAGGGCCAGGTATGTGCAGATGGGTGTCCACCCTGTGAGGAGGAAGGCTGACTCATAACCTAAAAACCCATGGCCGCCCCTCCCCTGGAGAAGGAGGAGATGCCTCTCACCAACTTGCCTTTTTTTAATTTGTCATCCCATTAACAGGTGATCAGGAGGTCCTACAGAGTCCATGATCAGGAAGAAAAAAAAGTGAAGCTTTTTCACATCAGGTCTAGAGATCTGACTCTAGCTCCTGTCACAATGTAGTTGAGAGCTGAGTCACTAGGGTTACTGAGGGCTCTGGGAGGCCTTCCATGTGTCAGCAGATGCTCGGGGGCTCCTTCTCCACTCCAGAACCCTTCCCTCACCTGCAACAAGATCCACTTTAACTCCTCTTTCCATTCCTTCTCCAATTTCCTGTCTGAAGTTCTGGATCCTGAAGAGCCAGTGGCTACCCTGATCAGTGTCCAGCCCCTCAGGCCTACTTGCCCCCAAGGTGATCTTCATCAGTATGGTCAGCTGTGCTTGTTTGTTCATGCTCTCAGGGGGTACTATAGCTGTCCTAGCCTCTGTCTCTATGGGCAACTCCCTGGCCAGCTTGCCAAGAAGCTCAGGCCTTGACAGTCACAGAACTTAGGTTCCCACACCTGGATGCCTGGGTTGCAGGCTTGGACCTGCCATGATCAACTGTGAGTTCCTTGGTATTTGTGTATCCACTCTGTGCCTCAGTTTCTTCATCTTGTGTGAAAAACAAGGATGATAACAAATGTCCTATTTATAGAATTCTTGTGTAGGTCAAATGCAGTATGGTAGATTCTGAGTATATGTCAGTGTTGTATAAATGTGAGCTTTTGGGGCCTCCCCGGTGGCGCAGCGGTTGAGCGCTGGGTTGCGAAGCTGCCCGCAGCCTCTGCAGTGCCGGTTCGATCCCCCGGCTGCTCCCCGGCCACCGGAGGAGGGTCCCGCATGGCGCGCAGACCTCTCCTGCCGCCCGCTGCTCCCCTCAGCAGTGTACTTCGGTCCTTCTGCCTGTTCTGCTCCCCACTCTGGCTCTGGTGAATTCTCTCACCCTCCCGCGCTTCTGACTGTACCCAGTGCATGTGTAAACAAAGCAAACAAACAAACAAATAAATAAATAAAACATGCCTCTTAAAAAAAAAAAAATTAAATGTGAGCTTTTGTGTTAAAACTTCAGAAGTAAACAAGTTGCCCAGAAGGTAATGAAATTGGGCCATGAGTTGCCATCCCTCAGGAAGTCAGAATCCTTTAAAATAAGAATTTTATACAAGATGGTTTCCAAGAACTGTTGGAGTCTGCGTTTTGTTTTTTGTTTTTTTTTTAATTTTTTTTTTAAGATTTATTTATTCATTTATACAAGCACTGGGTACAGTCAAAAGAGCAGGAGAGTGAGAGAATTCACCAGAGCCAGAGCGGGGAGCCCTCAGAGGGAGCAGCGGGCAGCAGGAGAGGTCTGCGCGCCATGTGGGACCCTCCTCCGGGTGGCTGGGGAGCAGCCGGGGATCAAGCCGGTGCTGGTGCCGCAGAGGCTGTGGGCAACTTCGCAACCCAGCGCTCAACCGCTGCGCCACCGGGGAGGCCTGGATTCTGCATTTTGAATCAATTTAAAATAAACAAGGCCCTAAAAGGAGAACTTCAAGGGCAAGCGTAAGATAAATATTTTATTTATCTGAATCTCCAGTCATAGACCTGGGGTTTGAGGGAGGCTTCCAAGTCCAACTACTGCAGAAATCTCTCCAACCATACTGGAGAAGTAAATTCATGCCTATGTGACCCCCACGCCTCTGGGAGAGGAGGGAAGCAATCTATAAAACAGCCCAACTTGCTCGCTGATTAGTTTCTGCTCCTGAGCATGTTACTTAGCATCCCTACACCACACTCCACTGTACAGTGGGCCCAGAACTATAACCTGGGAGGACTATAGTGGCAATGAGCTCGAGAGCGATGCCTGACACACAGCATGTGAACACAAACTACCCAAGGGGACAGCCCACCTCCTGCACTGGAACCAGGTGGACATCCAGCTCTGCAAAGCTGCAAATCGAGGCTTGTGCTTGCACTTCTGGCAAGTTGCCTTCCCTCCCTGATTCTCAGTTTTTTGTATAAAAATTGGGAACAGAAACCCCAACAAAAATTGGGAACAGAAACCCCTGCTGGA